TCAAAGCTGCAGGGCGCATCAACTACCACGTAATCGCCTTGCAGGAAACAAAGCTCAGGAAGACGGACGTGAGGCAGCTGAGTGATGGCACGCTCATCATTCGTGGTGAAAAGGCTCCATCATTGAATGTTGGAGGCGTTGGATTTGTCGTACACCCATCTGTTGCCCATCTTGTCGATTCGCATGAGATCCTCTCACCTCGCCTGGCTATCCTTCAACTCCGTCCTCTACATCAGAAAGCCACCATGATCATCAACTGCTATTCTCCAACATTAGCAGCTGATGGTTCGGAACTTGATGCTTTTTATGAGAATTCGGAAGAAGTCACCCGCGAAAAACTCCCATTATAAGTTCCATCGTCGGTAACTTCAATGCGAAAATCGGGTATCTAGAAAAGGGGAGCACAGAATCGGGAGTTTTGGATCAGGGCTCCGCAATGAGATTGGTAACCGTATTGTTGGGCTCTTATCCGCCGCATGATTTTTTTGTGGCAACTCCATTTTCATGAAGGAAGAACACCGACGGTGGACAAGGGAGTCACCCAACGGTACGACTCGTGCGGAGATCGACCACATTCTCACCAACTGAAGGTGGTGCTTACTGGACGTTTCAGTGGTACCATCCTTCAGAAGTGGCTCAGATCACCGCCTCCTTCGAGCAAAAGTGCGATTCAGCCAAAAGCTGGAAAAGAAGATCTGCCACCGTGTTGAAGGAAGGAGAGAAGTCGTACATGACGGCGTCAGATTGGAGGAGCTCCTGACCACCTATGACTGGCCTATCGAGGAGGACCCGACGAAAGACTACGACCCGCTTAATTAGAAGACTGAGAGCCTGTGGTGAAAGCGCCCCAATGCCTCGCACAAGGAACTTGGAACATATTCTGAAAGCCACCAAGGACATGCTAGAGAGGAGGAGAGCACTGAGGGTGGATCCGGCAACATATCTCAAGACTGGTAGGCAATACCAGTTGCAGAACAGCTTTGCAAGAAGATCTTCGAGAGTACAGGCAATCAAAACCCTTGAAAGCAGCACAAGGAAGAAGAAGTCGAAAGAAGTGCCGCAGGGACCTTCTTGACTATCATGTTCCGCTGACAACATAAAGAAGACGGGCTCGCAAATCTTCCCGACCAAAGATGGAAGCGATCACGAAGAGTTTCTAGACCAATCTCTTTCGCTCGTCAACACCCGTGTCAAACCCCTTTGTTTCCACTGGAGAAATACCACCACGGATCCTACCTACTGAAGTACTCGCTGCAATCCAGAACATGAAGGCTCCGGGACCGGACCATGTTTCGGTCGACGTCTTACGAGATGGAGGACATCGAGAGTACCGCCTACCTTTCGTCCTAACCTTCGTTGACTATCTAACTATATAATAAAACGCTAATATGTCTGTATGTGTGTGTGTTTCTCTGTCTGTCACGAAATTAGTTCATTTGTCTTAAGAAAGTCAAAGAGC